TTTTTGTTTTTTGTTTTTTTGGGGGAAAAAAAAAAAACAGTACGATGATTCATTTCAGTAATTGTATCGCAATCTGGTTTACTCGGCAGAGCTGTGTTTTTTTTTTTTTTTTTTGACGAGGAAAGAAAAGAAATCAGACTCCATAATAGCCGGCGAATTAAATGTGTTTTTTTCTGCAGACATGAACTGAAAAAAAAAAAGAGTAAAGGAAACATCGTGTCCCAGGAGTTTTCTTTTCCTTTTTCAATGCCGTAGCTTGTCTGCAAAAATGACAATGTAAGCTCTCAGCGTATTTCGCTCGCACTAGGACTCTCTCCACTGATTCTGGATGTGAATGCTGTCAGATACATGCAGGAAAATCGTAGGTCGTGTATGCTTTAACACTCTGTTATCGCCTATTTATCCCTCGTTGCAAGTGAGAGAGAGAGAGAGAGAGAGATTCACGTATGCTATAACACACTTATCCCCTATTTATCCCTCACAACACCGACGAGTGTGCACCTCTCTCTCTCTCTCTCTGGTGTTTGTGTGTGTGTCGAGAGTGCAGCTCTTTCTGTTTGTGTGTGTGTGTGTGTGTGTGTGTGTGAGAGAGAGAGAGAGAGAGAGCGTGTGTGTGCAAGTTTCTGTGGTTCAGCAGAAACACCTCTGTTGAGTGGAGAGAGAGAGAGAGAGAGAGAGAGAGAGAGAGAGAGAGAGAGAGAGCAAATGCTTTTCTGTTCTGTTCGGATGTTGGGGGGGGGGGCAAATGACCTGAGGGCGTGTGTTTACTTTGTACTTATTATTTCAAGCTTCTTTTTACTTCAAGCTTCTTTTTCAGCACGGGAGTCCATTTAAGTTGGTGGCGGGGCCAAGTCCCACTAGCAGCGTTGAGTTTCCTCAACGCATGAATCTGGACATGTTTATGGAGATATGCAGAAAACGCGTAGAGTTTTCTCAACTGCACATCTCCACAAACACGTCCAGATTCAGGCGTTGAGGAAACTCAACGTTGCTAGTGGGACTTGGCCCCCTGTGTGGTGTGGAGTGCGCGGCGTGGTCCTTCATTTTTGTTTTTTGTTTTTTTTTGAGGACAAGTAATCAAAATTTTATATATTTATTGAATAATCAAAATTTTATATATGTAATATTTACTGATATACTGGCGCACATTTTCCAATTATTTATTTATTTATTATTTATTCACTTCGTCTTTTTCTACCTTCTGAGGGTTCAGGCGAGTATATGCGCGTTGCTTCTTTCCTTATTTGCGAAATTTGCCCGTTGCTTATTTCCTTGGAAATTTGCCAGCGCACATCAGTGGTTGAGGGACGACGATCGAATCTGAGCTCTCTCTCTCTCTCTCTCTCGCTGAGGGAATATATCTTAAGATACAAAAAAACGGGGGGAGGGAAAAATCTACACTCACCCAAGAGCCTAGCTCAGTGGGTACACCCATGAACTGTTGAAATACAAACCTGTGTTCGAATCCAGATGATGGAAACTTGACAATTGCAACCAACTACTAATAAATTGCTTGGGGTTGGTCAGCTCAATGATAATATCAAAAGACCGTCGCCCTTTTTCCCTGTTCAGGCGTTAAATCCAATCCTCTTTGCTAGTGGAACCTCGGCCCCAGTGGGATGCCACCCGGCTATTCGAGGATATGACTGAAATATATAAATCGACAAATGCTCCCAAAAAAAAAAAAAAAAAAAAAAAAACAGAAAAAAAAAACGAAACTGAGTTCTTTTCAGCTGCTGACCATTTCCTGTGGCCCGCGCAGTGTAGTAGGGAAAGCAGGGGGGCGCCTAGAAACGTCACCCCCCCAGAAAGGTCACCCCCCCAGAAAGGCCCCCCCCCCAGAAAGGTCACCCCCCCAGAAAGGTCCCCCCCTCTCTGGCACTCCCAAAAGCCGGAGCCTCACGCGCCACAGGAGAGAACTGGAGGCGAGGGCCCACTAGCAAAGAGAGGATTGGATAAAGCACCTGAATCTGGATGTGTTGTATGCACAGATGCAGAAACGCAGATCAAATGCGATTTTCTGCACTTCTCCACACGTACGTCCAGATTCAGTCGTTTGTTTCAATCCCGTTTCTAGTGGGACCTCGCCCCCGCTGCCTTTCCTATTCGTAAAACATTTATGGAAATTTGGAAACATATAAAATGGTACATAAATCATTGGCATTAATAATTTAATAAACATGCGCCCTATAATACCGTTTTGACTTCCTTTTTTTTTTTTTTTTTTTTTAAGCGTCAGACTGGAAACGGTTTATCTGGCATATGGGTACGCCGGCCGCGTTAAGTTCATCTACTGCATCATTGTCTTCTAATAAAAAGATATCACAGTACAATATTAGACGTCTAGTAAACAAGAGTTACGTTTTTATTATGGACTTACAGAACGTCAACTACTTAAGTCCCGCGGAATGCAGTCTTTTTTATTTCTTGAATTAGTCACATTTGCGTTCTTAATTAATTACAGTCACATTTGCGTTAGTAATTAATTACAGTCACATTTTTCGTTATTAATTAATTATAGTCACAATTGCGTAAGTAATTACTACAATCACATTTCAGCTATTAATTCATTATTCACTATTTTATATTTGATTATGTCTTACGATAAAACATTATTTGTGGTAGTTAATAAATCCTTCATGGAAACGAATTATGATATTAATTACTGTAAGACTCAGTAAGAACTTTTTTTTAAACATTTCATGATTACATACGAATATTATAAGATTTACGGATTCGAGAAAATTGCACTCATCATGCAATAAAACTTGGTGAAAAAAAAAAAAAAAAAAAAAAAAAAAAAAAAAAAAAAAAAAAAAAAAAAAACTAATCAATACGTACTGGGATAGGGGAGAGGAAACCTCCGCTTCTCCTTCAATTTTTTTAATATTTCAGATAATTTCACGGATTATAATGTATATTTAATTTATAACTTTATAATACGATTTGGGAAAAAAAAAAAAAAAAAGGTTTACGGATCCAAAAAGATCAACTCGGAGAATGAAAAAGCAAAAAAAAAAAAAAAAAAAAAAAAACCGGTCAATACGTACTGGGATATGAGGGAGGACACGTCCGCTTCTTCTTCCAACCTCACGTCCACTGCCTACCATGACACGTGGCGATGCCACGTGACCCCAGCGAATGATGCTGCAATAAGCCCCATCCATTCGTGCATCAGCAGCCCGCCACGTCAGATCATCATCACGTTTTCCACCCGTACCTCCTCCTCCTCCTTCTCCTCCTCCTCCTCGTCCTCGTTCCATTGATATCCTGATGAGCCCTCTGTCAAAGCTACTGGCATGAATTCTGCCAAAATCCGCGCTAGATGCGTGATGAGGGTGATCGGAAACAGCACCGACACGTGGCAGCGTCTGCGACGAAGCGACCTGGAATATTCCCTCCTGTTTCCCGGCGGACACGTGGCAATAGGAAGGCCGACTACTAGGGGCATTTCTGTGAATAGCCAGTGTGCCTTTCGAACGCTGAGAGCGCGGCTCCAAAGCTTGTGCGCGTCGCCACAGCAGCTGCGCTACTACTTCCATGCTGCCACGTGGACACGAGTTTACCGTGCCACGTGGACACGATCTTATCATGCCACGTGGACACGACGCTGTAATCCCGCCACGTGGCCGACAACCCGCCTCTCCTCTCAACATGCTGCTCAACGACCGTGGTCGTCTTGCAACAGCGTCGATATCCCGACCCTCGTGCCGAAGACATCCGTCCGCCGCGGCATCCCGATCCCGACAGGCAACGTGCGCAACGACGGCCTTAGCAGCCGCGATCCCTACCGTCGCGGCCATTGTCAGAAGCGACTCGCTATAGGACGGTAATGGCAAGATCCCGACGGCGAACTTTCTCTCTCTCTCTCTCTCTCTCTCTCTCTCTCTCTCTCTCTCTCTCTCTCTCTCTCTCTCTCT